TGAATCACACTGTATTTTAACTATTTTTGTAAATGTAGTTTACTTGTTCAAGAGCATCAATTAATACAAAAAAAAAACATTTATTAATAATCACGACATGCACATCTGCTGGTGCATAATTCTATTAAAAAATTGCTACCGCAAAAAACCGATAAACAAAATCATTTTCCCAACCAATTGCATTTAAACTCACTCCGGATATCGTCACATCTCACTTACACCCTATAAATCTCACTAAATGTCAACGAAAAAAACAGCGTTTATCGCGCCGATACAACCTCGGCCCATGCTACATACGAAATCGACTGACGTTTGATGAGTACCGGCATCGGAACCTATCGGCCGGTTCCAGCGGGTTCCAAAACGTGTTTTTTTGACGGAAAACCGTGAATATATACCGATGCGATAACGCGATCGACTATGCGATATTGTTGCGCGGCGATCTAGTAAGCCTAGCCGGCGAAAAAATTGAACACGCTGCCGGGTTTAATGGGATTGTTGCTCGCGAGACGCGTAATTGGCCACGAAAAACAAAACAAAACGGGAAAAAATAAAAAGCGCGTGCGTAGCTGGCTCTGATAACAACAGAGATGTTTTTTTGATTTGCGGGTTTTGCAAAAGGATCATGGATGATAACAATTTAATTCGTCAAAACAATTAAAATTAGCTTTAAAATAAAACTAATTTCAATGACCAGTACCCACTCACATTGTTTAACTATACAGTATGTCCCCGGATTGTCTTTACAAGAGGAAAAACTTTTTTTATTATTGATATTTTGAGAAAAAAACATTCTTCATAACTGACATTCTTGTTAATTCCGTTTGTACTTTCCCAAATTTCCAAACCGTTTTAGAAAAAATTAAAAAAAAAAATGAAAATGTAGTTAAAGGCCCAAAAATCTAAACGCATTTCTATGGTAATAAAATGTAATTTTCATTCTTTGATACATTGTTATTGATAGAATTTTAATTAACGTCATATTTTTTGCTGTTTTAAAATGTTAAAGAAGCACAAAATGTATTTAGTTGAATGCTACGGAAAGGGCCATGCTATAGTTAATAGTTATCGCAAAATGTGATACTTATCGCAAATAGTTATCGCAAAATGTGATACTTATCGCAAATAGTTATCGCAAAATGTGATACAACAGCAAAAAATATGACGTTAATCAAAATTAATAATAACCATCTATCAAAGAATGAAATGGAAATTATATTAGCATAGAAACACCCTTTGTTTTTCATGACTTTCAGGAAAAAATTCAACCGTATTTTCATGTTTTTATTTTTTGTCTAAAACAGCATGGCAATTTAGAAAAGTATAAACGGTATTAACCATTTTAGAACAAGCAAAAATATTTATGAAGAATGCATTTTTCTCAAAATGTCAATAATAAAAAGTTTTTCCTCTTATAAAGACAATCATACATACGGGGACATACTGTATATTACAACAAATTTTAATGTTTTTTTTTAAGATAATTGTTTTTCATGTCCGTATCAAGAGTATCAGATCATTTAGAAGGTTTATAAAGTTATTTAAATGTGTTAATTCAAAATTTCAATTCTCTATACAGGGTGCTACAAATTCGAAGTACGAGCATTGGTATCTCGGAAACCGTAATAGATGCGAAGATGGTTAAATTGGGACAAAGTTGCGCCTTGGGTTCCACCATGTTAGCCAACATGCTATCAAAAAAGTTTCAAAATTTTCAAGAACTGAAAAATCAATTTTATTTTTCTTTAAATGCGGACCTGCGTTTTTTATTCCAGGTTTTGAAAGAATTCAGTCTCCTGAGTACAATGATATGGCACACTTGATATTTTCTTTTATTTTGGGCACTTTAACAACACTATTTGAACCAATTTCAAGTCCGGCTCTGTTTTTTTTTAATTATTTAACCTTATTATAATAATCGTAATAATATTGATAAGCGCTAATTAACATTGAATAAGGAAAATCGAGCCAAATAAAAGATTCAAATAAGTAATATTCAGGTCAGTTTTTTAAAGATATTATTTTTAAGCCCTTTCAACAGATATTTTTATACTTCCATTAGATTGCTCCACATTTCCAATCCATTTTCCGGGAAAATTATTTGACTGTTTATATTAGTTATTTTATATTAGTTTTTATTATATTACTGTATTTGATTTTTCGTATTCAATATTATACCATACATCATTGTTAAGTTTTAAAGCTCATAAGTGGTGTTACGATGAATAGATTAGATATTTTAAAAAACCAGAGCCGGACTAAAAATTAATTAAAATAAATTTTGTTTCAAGTGCCCAAAACTAAATAAATGGCGAATTCAAAGAAATACAAAATGCAAATTCGTATTTAAAAAAATTAAGTTGGTCTATCATCTCACAAATTATCAGCTAATTTGAAAATCTAAAAATCAGGTAGCCTTGATAAAGTGGCCATGAGAATGGGATTAGTTTTAGAATTTCCTACAAGTCAGGACAGAAAAAAAATAAAACTGATTTAAAAGAAAATCGTTTTTTCTCTAAATAACTCAGCAATCCTTGAAATTTTTAAAAAAAATTTGATGACATATATATTATCCCAAGGCGTAAATTTCTCCCAATTAATGATGTTCGAATCTCTTACGGTTTCCGAGATACCAATGCTTGTACCCCGAATGACACTCTTAATAGAATGACATATCATATGCCAACTTTTGACATTTTCGTTCAAAAAAAAATCGTACCTATTTTAAATTGTGTCAAAAACACTAATTTTTAATCAAGGAGTCTTGGAAAAATAGATTTCATCGTCTGTTTTTCGTGTCTTGTCCTAGCCGGTTAAAAGATGCCCAAATCGTATTTTTAATCATATCTCATTTTTTTCAAATGGAACAAGTATGGCTCATTAGAATATAAAAAGCATTTTTTAAGAATAATTTGGTACCACACACTTGGTATTTCGAGTCAAATTGTCGTTATGAACCGCATGTTACAATTTCAAATGAGACCATATATGCGAAAATGTCAAAAGTTGACATATGATATGCCACTCTATTTCAGAGTGTCATTTTCTATCGAATACAGTAAAAAATACCGAAGATGTTCTTTAAAAATCAAAAGTTGTAGTCATTTCCGGTAAAACAGGAAGTGACCAAAAACAATTGGATACGTCAATCAATCCTAATTTATGTTATATACTAACATACCAAATCTCATTTTCTTTCTGAAAAATAAAAAAAGTTAAAGAGGTGAGCCACTTTTCAGACGCACCCGGTATTATCCGTAAGGGGCGGTTCGCATATATTGAAGATAAAATAAAAACACAATTATCTTTTTCTTCGCACTCAGCCTGTTTCTTACTTATGGTGTTCAATTAATAATAAGAAAAATCCGTAGCAAGCTATTTGTAAAATCCTGACATGACAGTTATCGCATGACAAGTACAAATAATTTTCTATTATTACTGGATATGTTGAAGAAATTCTCCCTAAACTTTTTCTAACGAACTCTATAATACATTTTTCCCAATTTTTTTCGTATTTTTTGACACACCCTGTTCGAGTTTTAGTTAGAGTTAGTTTTTGAGACATCTTTGTTTCAAAGTATTCTACATTTTTGACTTTCTTTTAGACAAAAATAAAAGCCAGAAAGTCTCAAATATATCGGATGATCGAAAAAAAAACGGCGTCAAAGACGGCTGGGAAATGATAATCGATGATAATTTTGGAGAGACCAATCTCTAGACGTTGCTTACTAGAACGTGACATAAAACTTTCTTCTTTTTTTTTTTTTAAATTAAAGATTAAAAAAGGATAGAACGTTTTCAGACAAAAATCTATTTCGAAAATAATATTCTTTCTCGAAGCTTTTCTTTCACCCTGTTTTTTTCGATCATATGGTACTTCAGAGAAACCGATGTTCCCCTTCTCGTACCTCGATATTTATTTAAAATCTTATAGACTATAGACAGAATTTTTTCTAAAAGAATCAAAGATATTCCCGATTCCTTTCCCTTAAATTGTCACCCTGTATACTAGAAGATATTTACACAGTTAGTCCCTACTCTTTGTTTTCCACAACAAGTATTTAACTACCTACTCTTAAATGCAAATCAAGTTATCTAGTTCTAAGTGTTTAAACAAAAATACGAACGTATTTATATCAACAATGACATAATGTTAAAAAGAATTATCTTTGCGACAATAATATACAGACGACAGACGGACACGTGTAAATATGTTTTCCTATCTGATGTAGCAGTGGGAAAATCTGACGCAGCCAAACGAGCAAAATATTTGATCAAGATCCAGTCAATTTATTTTTATTTATTTTCTTGTATCCCGTTGCCAGGACCTCGGACCGATCCAAAATGATAATCTTAGAAAAATAAAATATTTATAAAAGATTTATTTACTTATGGCAGAAATTTAAACAAAATTAAAATGAACAGAAAAATTGGCATTGCAAAACATCCTAGAAATCGTACAAACAATATTATATTTTCGCCAAAAGGAACCGGTAGCGTTTGTTTACATTCGAGGCCAAATATAAACAGAACACGCCTTCCGAATTGACGAATGCGCCAGTATAAGCAGAAATAGCTCGCGCACTTCTCGCGCAACTAACGAGATTAGGCAACCAATAATACGCATCTATCGTACAGGCAGAATAACAAAGCCAACGATAAATTCTAGTGGCCATATCAAAAGGATTTTTTTTGATCGTGAATTTGAAAACTTTATTTTCATTTTAATTTAAATTTAAATATTTCAAAACTTCAAATATTAACTTTGATATTCGCAAAAAAATATAACAAAATTGAGAGCAAATATGGAAACATTTTAGTTTTGCCATTTCAAAGTTTGATTAAATTTATACTTTTATTAAAACCTAGTTTTAGAGTTCGATAGCTAAAACCTGTTTTAAATGTCATCAAACTTTTGTTAATCATACTTCTGTTTGGCGATACGGCGTTCTTCTATAATTCATTTTTGAAACGCGCGATTGGAAATAGATTGGACTTACCCCTCGGGAATCCCTGAACAGGATAGCGGCGTGATGAGGGTCCAATAGGGCGTCGGATGCCCTGTGGATATTCGTTGGGATAATGGAACCTAGGGATTGTCTTCTTCGTTCGGGGTCTAACGATCTCTGCTTAAGTTGAGCACCTAAAAAAGAATGGAAAATATAAGGCGTTTGTAAAAAAAATGAGTTTTTAAAGACGAAAAAAATTAACTGGTTGCATATAGGTTAGATATTTTTGTTAAATAATCTGATTAATACTCTATAGGGTTCAGGACCGGGAAACCCCGGTACCGAAAGTACCGGAGATTCCCGGATCTTTCGGTACTTTGGGGACTCGGTAATAATAATTAAAAACATATTTTATGTTACGTGCGAAATGATTCAAAGTGTCTTGATACTTTTTAGTGGTCGAAACCAAACTCTGCTAAATAAGTAGTTATGCTATCTCTTACATGTTCTTACTTCTGAAGTTATTTTGAAGTTTCTATAATGTTTATTAGCAATTATTGAAGTTTAAATACGTTATTTTATTATTTACTATAATATTGCTGAATGTATATTAGTTATATTTTTTTGTGTTATTTATAAGCATTTGCATCTTTAATTGAAAATGTCAAGTTTTTTTTCTAATTTAGTTAAGTTAAGTAGTAGTTTTCTAATTTAGTTGGTTTCGAGGTTGGTTGATGTTGTTTGATGTAATTTTTAAGCTACTTATATGTGTTTTCCTTTTTTTCGCTTGTGTTCATTATTTGTGTTCATGTTTACTTTCTCATGACTCAATTTTTTATCGGTTTTACTTTTGAGAACCATCCCTTGCTTGCTAATTGACGAACTCCACAATCGTTGAACGAAAATATTTTAATACAATTCTGAAAACTCTAATTAATACTACCAATTAGGGTTTAGATCTTTTTGGCATCACAGAACCGGGCCTCGGTAACAATAATTAAAAAAATATTTTTTTGTTACGTGAGAAAGTCCTTTGATACTGTCTAGCGGTCGATATCAAACTCTTCTAAATAATAATGATGCTATTTCTTGTTGTTCTTGCTTCTTTTCTCTTTTCGAGATCCAGTAATATTTATTATGTTATGTTTTAATAGATATTTGCATTTTAATTCAATATTTTAGTGCTTTTGTCTCAAACTCAGTTAAATTGGTTTATGTGGTTTGATGTGAAATTTAAGTTACCTATACTTTTTTCTTTGCTTGTTTGTATTAATGTTAATTTTTTCATGCCTGATTATTTTAGTAATTTGATATTATTTTTATTGAAAATCTCAATTTTTTATCCATTTTACTTTTACATTGAACAAAAATTAGTCAGTACCGAAAGTACCAAAAAAAAAACGGGAAATCCCGGTTCCTAAGAGACGTGGTACCGAAATTCCCGGTTCCGAAAAACCAGCTCCGATTCCGGAAACCCTAATACTCTACTTATGTATCAAGGAAATTAATAACCGAAGGCAAAGCTTCTGTCCCGAGGGACTATGACCCGAGGGACAATAATAATTATCCGAGGTTATTGACACTTTATAATTCCCGTGGTACATAGAGAATTTTATTTATTACTGTATTTAACATATTTTGTCCCATTTTAAAACGACACAAATGTTGCATTTATTAATATTCCGGTATATTTGTACTAACGCTACTGGTAGGAACTTTGTCGGCAGATTACTATTGCATTAAATGGCCTCTTTTATTGACGATTGTTGAAAATCGAGTTCAGTTTTTTTGCCAAAAAACGCCTTTAGCACGAATTCGGTACACGTTCGATTACGCTTCCATTAAAATGGAGGAAATATGAAAAGCAGTTGAAGAAGCATGACAAACAAGTTACTTCCATCTAAAGGCGAATCCATTTACCAAAAGGAATAAGTATACAAATGGAAAAGCAAAGGATGTCGATGAAACTGTCCTCTTGTAAATTTATTATAAATGTGACATTAATGATGTAAATAAATTACTGGAGTAGTTAGATGAGTATCCATTTTCATTTTATTATTATTACTTAAAATCTCTATTATATTTCACGGTTGTTACCTGTAAAAGGTAAGAGGAAATTATAGCATCGTAATTCCCGTTAATAATATCCCGAGGGAGTTATGACTCTATTTATGGTTAGCGTAACAAAGACGATATAAGCTGGCTTATATTAATTCAGCAAGAAATAAATAATATTTTCGACCATTTTTCTCCGAGTTCTGGCTCCTTCACCATTTAATCAATAATTTCAAAAATTGTTTTGCCGCAGTGACCATGCAGTGACGGTTCTTTTATATCCACAGAAGTTGTTTCTCAAATTATAATAAAATCACAAATCATTTCTCACTGGAACCCTACTACTTCTATACTGTATACAGGGTTGTTCACCACATACGACACGGAGTATTGTAGCTAAACGATTAGATTTTTACAAATTGCAAGTTTTGGGTTCGTTGAAGGACTATTAGAACTACAATTTAAAAATAATTTTACAAGATACAGAGTGTACCAAATAAGTGAAAAATATTACAGTTGTATTTTTTTAAATGGAACATCCTGTATATTACTCTATTGTTAGATTCTACGATTAAGGTATAATATAAATAAAGGTAAATTTGATTAAGGTTTATCACACTTAAACCTTACCGTTTATGAAATATTTTGAATTTTGTGAAATTGCAGTAAAAAATTAAGTCTTCATTTCTCCAAGGGTATTAAGGGTTTTAGTACTAAATATTTACTGAAGATTATTTATTGATCAGATATTGTGCTGCAATAATAAAAATTATACTACCTTATACAGAGTATCCAAAAATTTATATTAAATAATTGCTAGCTTTAAACGGCAATAACTGGTTTAATTTAAATGGAACACCCTGTATATTTTACGTGAATAAGATTTACATTTTAATTGTCTATCAAATTGTGTTATACCATTTTTACCTATCTCTTCAAGTTTTCGTAGAAACTGCATTTTCTTATAATTTAGACCTCATTTATCACTACACCCATTTTAGATTTTTTTAAAGCAACGTAATATGTTCAAAATGTACAGGTAGTAAAAATAATAATATTGTAAGCTCACTTGTTTACAAAAAGAAAACTATTTAAATCTTTGTAAAAGAGTACACCAATTATATATATTACTAATTATTAATATACCACCATTATTGCCGCCCAAAAATTAGTTAATTACATACTAATTGTTTCAATTTATAAATTATTCTAAATAAATGTGGATTTGACTCAGAAATCAATACAATAATAAGTTATGAAAATGAACGTCTCTGTTGTTATAAATAAGCATTCATCAAAAAATGAAATAAAATTTATAAGGTGTTGCTTTTTAGCACACTGTCTAATACACATACAAAATTCAGTTTTTTAGTATTTGGAACAAATTATTAATCAACGCAGTCAATTAATGTAGTTTGAATACTGGGATCATATTAATTGGTCCTCTTTAACAAAAAATATTTAAACAGTTTTTTTTTATCTTTTAATGAAATAAGCGAACTATATCGATAATAGTAGTATCTGTGCTTTTTGAAAATTTGTTACATCTTTAAAAATAATCTAAAATGTCAATATTCCACGGGTATAGTGATAAACGAGGTCTAAATTATTAGAAAATGCTTTTTTTACGAAAACTTGAAGAAATAGGTAAAAAATTGTATAATACAATTTGATGGACAATTAAACTGTGCATCTTATTCACGTAAAATATATAGAGTGTTCCATTTAAACTAAAAAAGTTATTGCCGTTTAAAGCTAGTACTTATTTAATATAAATTTTTAGATACTCTGTATAAGATAGTAATTCGTTTATTATTGCAACACAATATCTGATCAATAAATAAACTTCAGTAAATATTTAGTATTAAAAACTTCGACACCCTTGGAGAAATGAAGCCTTAACATTTTTGCTGCAATTTCATAAAATTGAAAATATTTCAAAAACGGTAAGGTTTAAGTGTAATAAACCTGAATCAAATTTACCTTTATTACAATCGTAAAATCTAAAAATAGAATAATATACAGGGTGTTTGGTTTGGGTTCCATTTAAAAAAAATACAACTATAATATTTTTGTCACTCTGTATCTTGTAAAAATATTTTTAAATTGTAGCTCTAATAGTCCTTCAACGAACCTAAAACTTGCAATTTGAAAAAATCTAATCGTTTAGCTACAATACTCCGTGTCGTATGTGGTGAACAACCCTCTGTAGATTAATTTTACAAATTATTCAGTAAATTTCTATATTAATTTGACTGAAAAGACACACTTTGGTTCCGATATGCACAAATTCTTGGCTATAACTTCTCTTTAACTAAAAACATATTTGACTAAATTACATGATTATTGATTTATTGATCGTTCTTGCTAGAAATATTAACATTTTCCAGTTCATAAATCATTTTATGCACAAATGTTCGATTTTAGTAATGCTAACGTGAAGAATAATGCTATGAAAATACACTTCAACAAAGAACCCTTCAATTAATATGCAGTACAATCACAAAAATATTATTTTTGTTATTATTTTCTCTGACATAATTCTATATAATGAAAGATATAAACAGGTACATTGAAACACAGTGAAAAGGATTTGTTTCTTTTTAAGAGCGAGTACATTTTATTAACTCCAACAATCATATCTTTTACTTTCAACTTTACATGCATTTTATCTCTAATGTCTAGTATATTTAAAGTAGGGACTTGTATATAAACAAACAAATAAAACTTGTATATAAAGACATTTTGTAATAGCAGAAGAAAATATTGTAATTTAAAGAGAAGAATTTGAGATATACCGGGTGCGTCTGAAAAGTGGCTCACCCCCTATAACTTTTTTATTTCTTCAGATAAAATAACGAGACTTGGTACGTTAGTTTATGACAAGTTGATTGACGTATTCAATAATTGTTTTTGATCACTTCCTGTGTCACCGGAAATGACAAAAACTTTTGATTTTTAAATTGCACCCTCGGTATTTCTTTACTTTATTCGATAGAAAATGACATTCTGAATAGAATGACATATGTCAACTTTTGACATTCTCGCTTAATAAAAAATTGTATTGTAAATTTCAATCTAGAGTGCCATGGCTATCTGAAAAACACTAATTCTTAATCAAGGACCATTGGAAAAATAG